TCTCGCCGCCATGAATCCTTTCCTTTTGGAGTCATTCAGCTCCCAACGCTGCGCACGACGTCTTGGCTTGCAACCCAGTCACTCTGCTTGTTCTGTGTGCGTCTTCTTGCCTGGGATAGCAACAGCCCCAGGTGAAAGAACTGGATTCTTGATGGAAGAAGAACAAGGAGGCTCGAATAGAGGCGAAGAAGAATACAAGGAAAGGAGAGGACCTCATGGAAGGATGGATAGAAGGAGCTTCTAGACGGAAACTTATGGCATTTCAGGAATTACAAAACATGGATGCCCTGTATTGCTGTTTCTTGTGGGCGCCTGGCAAAACGGATTTCGTCCACAGTTCACAGTTCTGCAAATCCAAAACCGGATTCGGAAGCTCTGACACAAAAAGGAGGAACAGAAGCCTTCGAATTCTAGAACAAAACCCTAAAGTTCCAAGAACCCTTGGGGTTGGTGCGCGGAGGGTTTTTCGAAGAAAACGAGGCAAATCAATGCGATACCAAAAGCAAATGCAAGCCCTGCCTCTCGTGCAGCCTCACGGGTGCGCTTGAAGACCTTGGTCAAACAACTAACGACTGGGTTTGCCGCCAGTCGGAAAGGACATGACTTTTCAAGGTCGGAACTCACAATATCCGTGATCGCTGTTTCCTGCACTCTAAGGCCTGGTCGAACTCGTTCCGGCGTTGCCTCTTGCGGATTCGACTAAAACGACCTCGGTTGGCCGTCGTTCCAAGCGGAAAGCCTTAAACAATTGGGTACTTTAGAGCCCACAAGGCCACGAAAAAGGTTCGTCCTATGCACCTCTGCTAAAACCACCCCGCAAACGAGTTTTTGCACGAAGCCACGCACCTGTTGACACGTGGCCTGCGACAAGCAAAAAGTGAGCTTAACGTTGAAATATGTTGGCGAAGTGTCACCTGTCTTTGCTCCGTATCGGTTAATGCATGTCAACGCTGCTTCTTTGTTTGCAAGGACAGCTAGAGAGGTTAGAATAAGGGTACCCTTTTTCTATAGTCTATTTTAGTAGGGGAACCCTCCCAACCAAAAAGGGGAGAGAAGGGCACTACTGGGGCCCTAGATGAACTCAGGAAGTAAGATGCAGACTTGTACAGCCTCGCCTTCGCGGCGCGTTTTTCAGCCGTGGCACATCGATTGCCCCGGCGGCTGACCACGTCCCCGCTGAGCCCCATGTCAGGAGCCTCACACATCAAGCGGAGTTGAAAGAGCCGTGTGTATCTGAGTACATCTATGGGTCTGCGGGTACGTGTTGTGTCTGGTTTTCACCTGTTTGGCCCGCCTTAGGCCTTGTGCCGCCTTAAGGGTACCAAAAAGCGCCCTGAACATCCGACAGCCCCTCATTCTGTCGTTTTGAAGGGAGCCCAAAAGGAAAACCACTAATTTGGGGGGGGGGGGGACCTAAAATGATGACAAACTCGTGTGAATTTGTACCTTGGACAACCTGCTAATGTTTGATCATTGAGGGAGTTGGGGCTGCGCTTCACGGATTTCGAACGAAGCGCTCATCTCAGGCAAGCTTGTGAAACCAGGGTTGGGCAAACTGTCTTTACAGTAATTCCAGAGCCTGGCCCCCTAAACGGGAAATCAACAGGAGTTGTTTAGACATGTGCAAAAGCGCAAACGCTTGGCCCGATGAAGCCACGAGCTTGCGCCTTCATAATCAAGTCCTTGACAGGAATGTCTGGAGCTCCCCAGAAGTTGGTCACCTGCCGAATGGATGCATCATGATAGCCGTGGGTGATTTCAGGGTTGGTTGAAAGGAGAAAGGGACACCACCAAGATGTTTTTCCCCCGAAGATAACATGTGTTTCTCAGGCTGCATTCTCACGAAACACAAACCAAGTGTGAGATCTGATGGCAACTTGGCATGGAATAAGCTTCCCACTATCGGTGCTTTTGATTGGCGGGGAGTTTCCCATTTACCCTCTACAAAGGGGTTCCAATCCCCCAATCCACCAATCTAAACCACCAAGTCAGGGTCACCTGTTGGACACCCAAAAAAAACGACGGCCGTCCAGCCATTCGCGGACCTTTCCACTCGACAGGCAGCCAGCCTGAGACTTGTTCGCGGCTCTCGTTGCCTACGGAGCAGCACTTGCCATGCGGCCGAGACACCGAGCATTTTGAGATCTCTGGGGGTTGGGTCAAACATAGGTACCCTAAGTGGCACTATGGCAAAGGGAAACAATGACTACACCCTGGAAGTCCGTGCTCTCAGAGGTCCCTCTAACATGGAAGTTCCTCGACTGGGGAAATGCCTATTCTGTTTTTTGCTGGGGATGTACGACCACCTCCTAACATAGAAGTTTCCTAGGGTACCCCTTGCCACGACTATCCCGGGATTTTTTCAGAAACCCTAGATTATTGAGGGAACTTGTTTCGAGCCTGCACTTCCATGTAAAAGAAAAAAGTGAGTGAAAGCGCAAGTCCTGACCCACGAACGTGTCCTAACATAGCCCCTAAAAATAGGCCCTACTCTTCCATGTGAAGGAGAACACGTGTGCTTAAGATGGAAGTGCAGGCTCGTCGTTTGCCCTATCATTTTTCGGGGGTCAATAGGGAAACTATGATTATGTTGGGAGCAGTTTCGCATATCCCTGAGAAAAGTCGTGAACCGGCATTTCCCCGGTCGCTTCAAATTACGGTGTGTCCGCCCGCTAATGCTTCAATCTCACCCCCACAGGCTACCAGTCGTACGTCGTACCTAGGTGGGTTCTGGAAGGGGTGTGGAGGGGGAGTTCGGTTTGTGTTTGGGGGGGGCGAGTTATTCGGGGGTTTGAGAGAGCCGGTGCCCGAATCATCGTCGGAAGTCAGCTTCGTGTTCTGAAATGCGGAAGTCAACAAAAAACACCCTAGGGACTTCTATTTTAGGATTATCCGAAACATGTTTTTTTTGACTAACCTGCAAACAAATAAAAACAAATGAATCCTGCTTACTTCCAGGGAGTGTATAACCTGCGGTTCCTGATTGCTTTAATTTTGACCCACACCCATATCTGGGGGTTGATCAATATTCCGTTCAGTGCCCAAATGACCATGGGTAACTTTGCCTATAAACAAGTGGTGTTTTTTGCTGGTGGTTTTCCAGAATGCTCATCCCATTTATCACGGACCTTTTGATCAACCCCCATGTAAACTCCCTTAAGCATTGCATGTGCACCCGCAACATCTACGCACACACCTCTACAGTTTGGTGAACACGTTTCCCGTGTTGCTATATTTTACGGAATGCCCTCCTAGTGACATGCAAAGAGCAAGCGCGTTGAAGGCATGCTCTAACTTTTGCCGGCTGGGATTTGGGTGACCCCTAAATGATAAATATGTTGTTTTCGAATGGTATTCGATGATTGCCAGATAATACTACTTTAAAGTGGCCAACGCTGTTTGGCAAAACAACACCCCTTATCCATCATTTTTTGGCACCGATCAAAACCAGCCCTTAACAAGGACTGTCCCCTTGCCCCACCAAAAAGGAAATCAAAAGATAAAAACCACAAATCAATCATACAAAAGCTATTTACACTGCTTCTGCCAATACTAGTTGCTTTTACGGGTTGCTTTTTGCAAACCAGAAAAACAAAAACGGCTTGCGGGAAACATCAATAGTATTTTTGCACTTAGCTCATGACTGGTTCCCGCCTTCAAGTCCTAATACAAAACCTCAATCATGGCGCTCCCAAGCCCTGGGATTCAATCGAACACAGCGGTTCACTTCCTATTGCTGTCCCATTGGCCAGGAGGACTGGAGAGGACCGGAGAAGACCGGAGAAGACCGGAGAAGACCGGAGAAGGTTAATAGGAGACCCTCCTAAATCTCTTTTTCTGGTTTTCTGGATCTTGCCAACCTTGATGGGCGGGGTACTAGCAACATGTTGGGTCTGAGGGATACCTTTGGTGACTTCGAGCTCGATGCTTACAGGGGCCATAACAATGATCCACTCAAAATCAATTCGCCGAGCCAAAAGAGGATCGCAATGAAAGAAACTCAAAAATCACAAGTGGTCGAAAGCCTCAAAACGCTAATTAGGTCCCGTTCTGAGTTGCTCATAATGATTAGAATAGTGAAGGCCTTCTGATAGATTGATGCAAAAGCTCCAAGCTCCCAATGTCTCAGGCGGCGAGTTCTGGGTAAGGTTTGGCAAGGATCGGGCACCCAGGCGAAAAAAGCAAAACAAGTTCCTCGGCCAAGCTGCACGGCCGACACGGTGCAGGTAGCTGATGGTGTTGCCGGCGAACCTGCATCCATCATTTCATGCCCCCTGAAAAAGCATGCCACACATTCGGAGAACCGCTGAATTTTGGTCCAAAGGTCCAACGTGGAAGAAAACCCTTTAAAGTTGCATGTGGCAGTCAGGCGGCGGAGACCAATACACGCCTCTAATCTCTGCACGTCGATATGAACTGTGTATGAGATTCCAAACAGGCCACTATTGGTAGACCATAGTAGCATGATCTTCCAAATACAATTACTGCAAGCGGGTGTGAGCACAACAAGAATCATGCCTCGGAGGACGGCAATTATTTGAACTAAAGCATAAGATCAGGTCGCAAACAGCCCTGGGCTGATATTGTTTCCCCTATGCAAGATATCATTGAAAAAATGTGGATGAAGCCTCATTAAACACCCAATCAAACCATACACGTCGCAACGAACAAGAAACTTCGAGGGGATCCGCTAAGATGGGCTAAATCCCAAACGGGCTCCGATTCAAAGGACATCCCTCAACTGCAGATTGGTTTGGGGCTCCATACGGGTCTTTACCACATTCTTTGAGGATATTCAGCTTGCTTAGTTGGAATCAGTTGTAACGACCCGCCTTCTCTTATTGCGTATGCGATGTTTTAAGGGCACCGTTTGCAGGTTGGGTATGAACCAAAAGGAAACTCTCCATTTTTGGGGGGCCCTCTTTTTTGACAAACACCCATATCAGCCGTGGTCAGAACTACTGGTTTCTCCAAATGGATGTGGGACATATACTGAGTCCTCCGGCTTTTCGGGGAGACTCAAAGCGTCCGTCCCAAAATTACTATAGACGACGATGACAATCGAGGACCGCCACCACGACCACCACCACTAGGTTCTCCAGTAGAGAGGTTAGAACAAGGGAACCCTTTTTTGTCTGCAGTCTATTTTAGTAGGGGAACCCTCCCCCAAAAAAACGGGTTAGAAAGGGCACCTAGCTGGGGGACCTAGACCACCACCACCACCACCACCACCAATGAGTTCGACCCTTCCTCTTCATCCACCAGCGCCGCGACCCTTCCGCGCCCGTTTTGCGCGGCTCTTGAGGCGCCGGGCTCCAGCTGAATGACGTGATGGCAAATGGGCAGGTCCAGACCGCGCCTCGGACGGATCCCTCAGATCGATCCCTCGGATCCCTCGGCACCGATCAGCTCTAAGAGGCGAAAAGGTCCAGAGAGTGAGGGTTTGAGCCGGGAAGGGAATGTCAAAGGGAAAGCCAAGGAGGTTCTGCCGACAAATGGCCAAGGTCATGGCTCTAGGCCAGACTGCGACGACCATCTCTAGCCCAAAGGCTGTTTTGATGCTTCGGAACCCTTACATTAGCTAAGAGGTATTTTGAACACGCCAAGCCCAGCAAGTATGAGAAATGTGGATACCGTTTTTAAGTGAGTTGTTAGCCCTTCTGGCACAGGATTCTGGGGGATGGTCCAAACCAGAACCATGCAAGGCAGCCGTACGTACGATCATCCCTGGAGTTGCTAGCTCCGGGATAACTCGAGCTACATTGCCGAAGAGGTGAGGCTGTTTGATTGGCACCAGTGCTGACGGGATCCAAGGGACTAAGTAAGGGTCGGGGCACCATTGAAAAACTATCTCAGGAAGTATGATCAAAGAAGTCAGGAAGCATGCCTTGCATGTGTCTCGGAATTAAATACGCAAGAATCAGCGGGCAACTCATGCTAGTGTTTCATGAAACTTCATCTCAGAACAGCTACCACTGCAAGGCAGTCAATCATGCATCTGATGTACATTTGCATGTTATCTGCCAATAATCAAAGAAATGCTGCACTTTGGCAGCCACGCCGCAGTCTCAAGCAAAGGTTGAGAAACTGCCTTGCACAAATTTGCAGAACAAAATCACCTGAGTCCTACAAACACAGAGAACATGTACTGTATCCAATGTCAAACACGGAACAATGGGCCAGAATGAAAAATGGCAGTGATGGGAGTAAACGTAGCGGTAGTAGTAGTAGCAGTAGCAGTAGCAGTAGCAGTAGCAGTAGCAGTGGTTGTGGTAGTGGCAGTGGTAATGGTAGTGGTAGTGGTAGTAGTAGTAGTAGCAGCAGCAGTACAGTAGCAGCAGCAGTGGTAGTAGCAGCAGCAGTAGTTTATAGTGGTAGCAGTGGTAGCAGTGGTAGCAGTAGTAGTCTGAGTAGCAGTGGCATAGGTAGTGTTGCGAGGTAGCACTAGACGTGCTTGTGGTACAGCACCGAACAGAAGCAAAAGTCAAACTCCAACTGACTAAAAATGGGCTCCTGCTGATTGGAAACATGTTTGTTCCTCTCACTGGCTGAGTGGATGGCCCAAAAAAGTTCAAACTTTATAATTACCACTAAAATGGTCTTCCCAAAAAGTTTAAAGTTCATGAACTCAGGAAGTGAGTCCTTGGTTTTTCCAAAGCATAGCGACCCTTGCAGGCAGTTCCTCCAAGGCCCTGGCGCGCCCAGGTCAGTGCAAATCATCGCTGGCACCTGCGGGGGTTCTCAGGCTGGCTGCCGGGTTGGATTTCCACGCAAAAAGGGGTAGACCAAAAAAGAAGATGACAAAACACACACACACACATAATCCGCTCCCCCTATTAATGAATGACCCCTACTAATGACCCCGTATTTATTAATAGGGGGAAGAGATTACACACACCCACGAGTAGGGGTTACCCAAAGTTGTCTCGGCCGCCAAACGCCTTAGGAGCTGGCTCGAGAGGAAGTGCCCCAGACAGAACAGATTAACCCCTGAAGTGGGAAATTGACCCGCCAGCGATGGCTGAACTTTGGTGGGGTTTTGCGCGACGAGCAGGAGGATTCACCCGGCCAGGGGAGTGCACACCAAGCAAAGTGGCGGAGCCACGAATCGCGTCTGAAGCGGAGCACAGGTGTCTTTTCCTTCTTCTCAAAATGACGTCCGGAAATGGGAACGGGCTTCAGGGATCAGTTTCTGGACCCCCCCCCCGAAACACGCAAATAGGCAATGACGCAAGGTGAATCATCGCACCCCCAAATTGGACTTGAATCCCTATGCGGATGGTGTGTGTATTTCAAGCGGCCAGTGGCCGCGACACAGGGTATGAACAACAACATGGCACGAGCCCAGAAAATGTTGACTCACTCGCTGTAATCTACAGGATGGATATCAAACTCTTACACTAAGCGCGTGAGCTGACGGCGCAAACGCATGATGATCATTCGCCAGGGTCACACTTCCGTGTGGTGAATTTAGCGAGTCCTCTGGGTTGTTGCAAGAGATTCAATCCGAGAATGATCTTGGAGATTCCGGACCTGCACAGCCCGGAAAGGAGGGCATTCATTGGGCGGAGCGTGTTGCAAGGGTTTCCTTGGAGTTGAGGTCCTAAACAAACCAAACACGGGCCCCTGTCACCCCCAAGGAAGATGGGGGAGGGCCTACCTGCAAACGTTGCAACCAAAAGTCCTTAAAGTCCGTCTTAGGTTCGTCAGCAGAATGCAACCAACCTACTTCCCAAGCTGTGTTTCAAGCTTGTTGCGCCCAAAAAATCGGAGGAAAAACCGGGGGGCAGCCCCGACGGCTCCGCCTCGCCCAGGCCGAACTTCTTCAGGCCCTCGATGCGCTCCGAGAAGCTGACGCCTGCCGAAGGGATTCCAACCAGACCTTTGCTGGATTTGCAGGAGGGAAAAAGACCACCCTCCAAAGACAAGGGACCCCCGCCCATTCCAAAGCAATTGAACACGGATCACCAGCGGATGCTTCTTGGTAGTTGATTATACAGGGAGCCCCCCTCCTTCACAGGTCTTTCACTCATACTTGGGAGTGCTTCTGAACAGAACCACAGCAGGCGCTTCGGTCGCTGTGCTTTCAGCCGCTGAGCAGGCAAAAGCGTGTCTGACTTGGGTGCTGTTGACCCCCCTGCAAAAAGTTTTTCACTCTTGAAGGTGTAGTGGAAACCTGTTTTTTATTTTCCCAAAAGTGCAAGCCTAAAGATCCAAGAGCAATCAAGGGCCTCAGAAGCCGAGCGGCCGCACCTCAGGGAAACCCATCCAAACGAAGAACAACGGGTGGAATCCACTGGGCAGCTGGGAAACCATACTGAATGGCCAACTGCAGTCGCGTCTCTTCCTCCCCTGGAGAAGGTCGAGAAGGATTTTCGGCTCAAAAACCAAAAAGCCAGGCACTGAAATAATCTGGGCGGTCTAGTTTAGTATTGGGCAATACTACTTTAGCATTGGGCAATACTACTTTTGAATTGGGAATGAGGATCCCAGAGCTCCAGCTGAATTCAAAAAAAAGCTTTGGTCCTTGCTTCCTTGTTTCCATTTGATTTAGTGTTGCTCGAGCTTCCTTCTGAATTTGATTTGAGCTTCCACTTATTTGATTAGAATTGTTGGATATGAGCTTTCATTTGATTTAGTATTGCTGGAACTTCCTTTTGAATATTGAATTGACTGTCCAGTTGATTTAGTATTGTGGGATTTCACTGTCCATTTGATTTGCAAGCTGATCATCTATTTTTGAATTTGATTTGAGTATCCAGTTGATTCAGTATTGTTGGATTTCACTCTCCATTTGATTTAGTATTGCTCGAGCTTCCTTCTGAATTTGATTTGAGCTTCCACTTATTTGATTAGAATTGTTGGATATGAGCTTTAATTTGATTTAGTATTGCTGGAACTTCCTTTTGAATATTGAATTGACTGTCCAGTTGACTTAGTATTGTGGGATTTCACTGTCCATTTGATTTGGAAGCTGATCATCTATTGTTGAATTTGATTTGAGTATCCAGTTGATTCAGTATTGTTGGATTACACTTTCCATTTGATTTAGTATTGCTCGAGCTTCCTTCTGAATTTGATTTGAGCTTCCACTTATTTGATTGGAATTGTTGGATATGAGCTTTCATTTGATTTAGTATTGCTGGAACTTCCTTTTGAATATTGAATTGACTGTCCATTTGATTTAGTATTGTGGGATTTCACTGTCCATTTGATTTGCAAGCTGATCATCTATTTTTGAATTTGATTTGAGTATCCAGTTGATTAAGTATTGTTGGATTTCACTTTCCATTTGATTTAGTATTGCTCGAGCTTCCTTCTGAATTTGATTTGAGCTTCCACTTATTTGATTGGAATTGTTGGATATGAGCTTTCATTTGATTTAGTATTGCTGGAACTTCCTTTTGAATAGTGAATTGACTGTCCAGTTGATTTAGTATTGTGGGATTTTACTGTCCATTTGATTTGCAAGCTGATCATCTATTTTTGAATTTGATTTGAGTATCCAGTTGATTCAGTATTGTGGGATTTCACTTTCCATTTGATTTAGTATTGCTCGAGCTTCCTTCTGAATTTGATTTGAGCTTCCACTTATTTGATTGGAATTGTTGGATATGAGCTTTCATTTGATTTAGTATTGCTGGAACTTCCTTTTGAATATTGAATTGACTGTCCAGTTGATTTAGTATTGTGGGATTTCACTGTCCATTTGATTTGCAAGCTGGTCATCTATTGTTGAATTTGATTTGAGTATCCAGTTGATTCAGTATTGTTGGATTTCACTCTCGATTTGATTTAGTATTGCTCGAGCTTCCTTCTGAATTTGATTTGAGCTTCCACTTGTTTGATTGGAATTGTTGGATATGAGCTTTCATTTGATTTAGTATTGCTGGAACTTCCTTTTGAATATTGAATTGACTGTCCAGTTGATTTAGTATTGTGGGATTTTACTGTCCATTTGATTTGCAAGCTGATCATCTATTTTTGAATTTGATTTGAGTATCCAGTTGATTCAGTATTGTGGGATTTCACTTTCCATTTGATTTAGTATTGCTCGAGCTTCCTTCTCAAATTGATTTGAGCTTCCACTTATTTGATTATAATTGTTGAATATGAGCTTTCATTTCATTTAGTATTGCTGGAACTTCCTTTTGAATATTGAATTGACTGTCCAGTTGATTTAGTATTGTGGGATTGTACTGTCCATTTGATTTGCAAGCTGATCATCTATTTTTGAATTTGACTTGAGTATCCAGTTGATTCAGTATTGTTGGATTTCACTCTCCATTTGATTTAGTATTGCTCGAGCTTCCTTCTGAATTTGATTTGAGCTTCCACTTATTTGATTGGAATTGTTGGATATGCGCTTTCATTTGATTTAGTATTGCTGGAACTTCCTTTTGAATATTGAATTGATTGTCCAGTTGATTTAGTATTGTGGGATTTCACTGTCCATTTGATTTGCAAGCTGATCATCTATTTTTGAATTTGATTTGAGTATCCAGTTGATTCAGTATTGTTGGATTTCACTTTCCAATTGATTTACTATTGCTGGCACTTCCCTTGATTTTCATTCGAGTGTCCAGTTCATTTCACTTTTAAATTGATTTAGTGTTGCTGGAGCTCAAAAATGGGTGCGACCCAAAGGCGCCCGATTTTTCTACCATGTGAGCTCACATTGCCATGGCCTGGGCACTCATGTGGGGTACCTCATGTGACCTGCTCAAGCCAGAACTTGTTGAAAGGGATTTGATGAAGACATGGCACTTTCAGAAAGACTTCCACTTTTTTGGACTTCAGGAGTTCTGGCTGATGTTTGTGTTGGCTTGGCAATGCTTCATGGCTGTGCTGGTATGCAAGTGCTAGCAAGCACAAAGCCGGATGTGGATTTTTGTTCCAGGACTGAGGGAAGCCAAATTGAGAGCACGGGGACCCATGCTATTGACATTGGGCACTTCTGTGGGGTACCTCATGTGACCTTCTGAAACCATCACTTTTTGAACGGGATTGTAATAAAGAAATTCTACTTTTAGAAGGCCAAACTTTTAGCAGACAAGATGAGACCAGCTGCATCACGGGATTTGAACTTTTGATTTGGGTGAGGCTTTCTGAATTTGGGGTCGTTTGTGTGGGGCCGGCTTAATTGCAGTTTTGTCTGTCTTTTTTGATATTTAGGTAAATTCCAGCTTTATGTTTTTGAAAAAACATGTGTAGTATTGGGGGTCCTGTGGGGGCCGGCTTAAGGGTGCGGATTTATTTCGGGATTTGTTTTCTTTTGATTTTTATAATTTTTTCCCCCGTTTTTCGTCCGGGCCAGTAAAATGTCGTATTTTACAGCATGTTCTCCGCGAAATTGACGCATTTTACACCAGCCCGTCAACATCCTCAGCATCGTTTTCAACATCCCCGGCATGTCCGACCAACATCCCTAGCATCACCAACAAATCGTGGGTAACAAAATCCAAAAAGTAGCTGGTGGGTTGACGGAGTCAAAAAAATAATGATTCAAACAGGAGGGCATTTCAATCCCAGTTTAAAAAAAAGCGGGGTGCAATTCAATCTCTGCAAGAAATCTAAAAGTAACGGGGGGGAGGCGGCAACCCCCCCATGATGTTTGAAGAGTTGATTCAAATACGGGTGCAATTACTCTGCAAACAATCTAAACAGTAGTGGGTGGGTTGGGGGGGGGGGGTTCCCCCCATGATGTCAAAAAGCCCGAAGGATGCGAAAAGCCCAAGCCGCCAAAAGCCGCCAAAAGCCGCATAAACCAGCGAAAAGCCGCAAAAGCCAAAACGCCACCTGCCGAAGAGGAACTGGGAATACAGAGGATGCGTAAAGGCAAAAAGCAACCAAAAGCCGCATAAACCAGCAAAAAGCCGAAAAGCCCAGAAGCCCAGAAGCCGAGAAGCCCAAGAAGCCGAAAAGCCAAGAAGCCAAGAAGCCAAGAAGCCAAAAAGCCAAGAAGCCAAGAAGCCAAGAAACCAAAAGCGGAAAAGAACAAAAAACAAAAAACCTCTGGCCGATCGACTGGGCAACTCAGCCTCGACATGCCCCAAACAACGGGGCCGAGTGGTAGATTCTTTCCTTTGGTCCAAGTTTGCAGGCAGGGCATTCTGGCCATTTCCACAAGTTCTGCGTGAGAGTAGGTCCTGGGAACACAATTTTACCTCTGCACTTGGGGGCCCACTTCCAAATGCCTTGCAAAATATCTATCTTGGGGCGAAGAGGAACCCAGGATTGATGAAACCAGCTGATTAGTAGAGGGCTGTCCCATCAAGGGATCAAGGGCAGCCACAAGGGAAGCTTGAAATGGAGGAGGCAGCGGGGTTTGTCTTTTTGTCTCTCTTTGCCCTGCCTGCATGGACATTGGCGACCTGGATGTCAGCTTCCTTCGCAGCCTCGGTCATGGGAACGTCTCAAAATGGTGGACCCCTTTTCGTTGGCATTTAGATGGAAACCAAATAGGAAACCAACCATTTCAGAGGAACCCTATATAGCTTGAGCAACCACGCACAAACACAACAACACACGACACAGACACACACACACACACACGCAAACACACTCACACACACAGACAACTTCGGAGCAGCTCTGAGTTTCCGGGCACGCTCAAAGGCCAGGCAAGCTTCTGGGGTGTTGGCGAAGATGATGGTCTGCAGGTCTGCGTCCTTGCCAAAAAATTCGCGGCAGAAAGCCTGGGAGAACCCATAGGGAGCTTTCGTCCATTCGAAGGTGAGGGGGCCTCAACAATAAATGCCAAGTTTCAGACATGGTCATGCAAGTTTCTCGTTTTTGGTTTTGCTATATAGTTCCTGAGAAAAACGCAAACCACGCAACGCGAAATCACCGAGGACATATCTCTGGATGAGAGAGTTTAGCCTTTCTATCTGAGCCCATTTTGCACAATTCAATACTCCAATTCCCAAACTGGAAATAAAAGAACAATGTGAGGTACGTTGAGGGAAACATGGAAACTTCCCATGAATCGAGCTGGTGAAATTGACCTTCCCAAACTTTGCCTCCCAAAGCTCCTGGAATAGGGCACTCACTGCTGTGGATTGGCAAATCAAAAACATATTCTCATTTACAAAAACTGTCCCCCCGCGGAAAAAAAAGGGTACAAAGTCTAGGAACTGGCGAGTGAGGAGGGTGCTTGATGCAACTCTTGTCGGTCTTACCCCTGCTCCACTTATCTCTTTCAATTTGCTCTTTCTCAGCCTCGGAATTTCCTATGACGCAAGGCATGGTTGAGTTCGGGGCCATTCCAACTCATCGGCCGAGTTTCATCCCGTCGCTCAAAGCCACTCCCCGCGTGGTAGGTTCAAGGCCGACTGTGTCCTGCTTCTGCAGCAGCTCGATGGTTTTCTGGATGCGCAGCGGCAAGTTCAGCTTGCCTGGAAACCAAGGTGGTGACTTTCTTGTTTTGCCCACATGAGTTCTATGTCAGCAGATAGGGGGACCTTCAAACTGGGTGATGTTCCATTGCGGTTCCTTTTGTTTTCATATGTTAGTTTTCGAGGGTACCCTTTTCTGAGTGGCTTCGAAGCGAAACCAAAAGGAACACCGCCGTGTTGGGTTTGGTAATCCTATTTTGAGAGGCACAGTCATTGGGTATGTATTTTTCCGTGGAACTCCTAAACTAGTGGTTCTCCTTTTGTTTTCCCTTACAAACCAGAAAACAACAGGTACCCTCACAGAAAACAAACACCCATAAACAATTCAGCGATTCAGCGGTTCTAACAAACGGACATGTTTAACACCATCAACCCATGTTGTTGCCTCGGAAAGGTTCAGGGTCTGGTTGTGTAAACCAGCGTTGCCCTTTAGAACCACGATTATACAACACCAGTCGTACGTTAGAACCAATTCGGACCCAACCTGCGCTGCCGCTTGCACTTGATAAGTTGGGCTTTTCAATCCGGAGGCATCCGGAGAAAAACCAGGGAATCTGCAGAAAGACAGCACTATGACTAGGCAAAGCAACACCGTCTGGCGTGAGTGTCAAGGATTGAGTTTGAACAACCCAGAGATAAAAGGCCCAAGACATGAAACAAAACAAAGATATGATATGAGCCACTGTCAAGCTTACTTGTTTCCCCACAAGGCCAAGGACAATTTGGTGACCGCTTTGAGTTTTGTGGAAATTTGGCGAGTCCTTCCATGTCCCTCCCAAATGGACCATAGACTTAGAAAGGGGCCTTTTCACAACCGTCAACCAACACCCCAGGGTATGTGCAAATTCTACAATATGTTCAAAACCTGAAATATTGTGGATCCTCAAGTAAAGGATTTTTACCATGGCGAGCTCTTTTTCCCCCCCCCGGTGAGCTCGCCATAAATTATGCAGGGCACAGCACTTCGTAGGGCCCCCCTGGCTCCGCCCTGCCCCGTTCGCTCCCTCCCGAAGCCTGTGCCCGCTTTTTGGCCTGGGCCGGTTTGCGGTGATTCCAGAAATCCGGAGTCCTGAAATGGTTTTCACCCCGCAGGTGAACCAGGGGCTGAAACTCATGGCTTTGATCCAACTCAAGACCCACGGCTCGTTTGAGAATACAAAGATCCGGCGCAGCATCTTACTCCCCGACATGGAACTCAAAATAAGTACCCCGAAAAAAGGAGTCTCATCCGGTGAGTGTTGCTTGGATTCCATGTTCATCGGCAGGTGGTAGGCCCGAAGTCTCTGCACAGGAGACAACCGGCTTGCTTCAGTGCGGAATCAAGGCTTAAGCTCTACGAACAAACGATACCCTTCTTCAGCTTCTTCATGATTGAAGCAATCTTCAGATTCGGGCAGTTCGCTGCCAGGCAAGAGTCAAACAGCTTCACAGCTTTACAGGTTTAGCACACATGCAGCAACTTTGGAGACTACAAACCGCTTGCTAGCTTGCAGAAACATTCTAGATCTAAGACGATCTAAGAATTTCTGAAGTGCCGAAGACGGTCCCAGCAACCCCTGCAAACGCAAAGCACTCAGCATAAAATGCACTTGTTGGCTATCTCTCTTGTGCAAAACACATAACTTTTGGATTGGAGTGAAAACACGCATGTTCCCAGCAATTTAAAGGCTAATCGTCCAACAAAATAGCAACCAAGGGCAGATTTGCCCCTTCTTGAAACGGGCATTACGAGCCAGCACACAGTCGGCAGCTTCGCCAGTAGAGCAGCGCTCGAAACGAGCAACAGCTTGTCGGATAGTTACAAAGGTTTGAGGCTCTGGCGATAATTTTGACCCGGGGATTCATCTGATGCATAGGAAGCGTCCCATTTCAGAGGCATACTCTCACCTTTTAAGGAGACTACACGGTATAAACTCACCAGATTGATTCATTCGGGGTCGACATTATACTCCTGAAACTCAAAATGAAGCTCACAAATAGTACACCGAGAAATGTGGTTTTGGGTTTCCCTTTTTGTGGGTCCAGGGCAGCCTCTCTCAATAATCTGTGGGTGGGTAGAATGGCTCAACCAACCAAACATCATGACCTGATGTTTGAAAAGACACGGGTTGAACAACAATGAGGATTTGAAAGAGCAGAGTCTCAAACCGGCGGAAACGGAGATTCCTTCTGAGGGGGCACCAACAAACAGATGTTTCAAAAAATATCGCTTTCGTTTTTGTTTCTTCCTTTTTTTCTTTCGGTGTAACTGGGACATGGACTGCTGTAGCTAGCCCACCCGGTGCTATGGGCGCCCAAAAAACCCATATCGATTGATAAAGCATGGTGGCACTTGGCAAAGGGCGGAGGTCAAGGGCAGTCGAAAAACTTGTAAGGCGACCGGGGCCCGTGGCCGTTCTTCCGGTCCTCCCCGGGGATGTAGAGCCACGCCTGCGCTCCAATGAACATGACATGGATCCGGTCCTTTTAAACGGAAAGTGGGCTTCCAAGACCCACCAAACATCAGGTTCCATGTTATTTGGTGGGAAGGGATATTATTTTATATCCACTGATTTTGGGCAAGTGGGACCACACGGGTGGAGGGTAAGCTGTCTATTGGGCAAGTTGTGGCAATTCAGAAGCCGATTTTGGTCGTCCGCCGCTTGTATTTGGTTTTCATCAGGCACCAAATTTGGTATCTTTGTTCCATTGTGTTTGGATACTTTTGTTTTCGAGGGTAGGCAACTTATTTGCAAGTATGCAGCGCACAGGTTCCCTTCCGAATATGCTGCAGCACACTGTTGCTCGACTGGACTCCGGTTGATATTTCGGTGGATTCCATCAGACTCTTTCGCCAATGCCGTGGTTCTTTTCAAAAGGAAGCCTGAGGTTGCTTCCCCTGCAAGAGAACTTGGCACTGCACAATTGGGGTCTTTTCTCCAAAAGCAGAGCTTCCCGACCCGGGAAAATGGATGATTTGTTGCGTTCCATGAGGGATGTTGTGATGTTTCTTAAATCGGCGCAACTCCTCAACTGATCCCGGCTAGTGAGCTGTCATCCAGTTTCCTCTGCTACACAAAGGATTTAGTGGATTCCCTGCATGAATTTGAAACACACCCACACCACGGGCCTTTTGACACTTGCGACGTGGCCTGCGTAGCATGAGGAGTTTCACTGTGTGCAGCCAGTTTCAAGCATGAATTGCCATGTGGCACCCTTAGCTCTACATTTGCGGTACACAAACGGTACTTCACACCCAAAAACACCCTTTAGCTTTAAACAAATCAATCCCAAATGCAATGTCCCTGTTTCAATTCGCAAAGGGTCAAACCTCTCAAAACCCCCTCCCGAAACTCCGGAACATGCCCCTCGGGGCAACTTCAAGCAAGGCTTCAAATATTTCCGGTGTGAAGAATGGGTCTATTGTTGAGGGTGCCCCTTTTGGAGGGTCCCCTACTGGGAGTTTCCTGTTGTTTCTCTTGTAGGCACCATGAGAAAGTAAGGGGTGATCCCCCCAAAAATAGACACCCAATGGATATTCTGGTAAACATGCATTTTAAGCAAGAGCGTGAAGAAAGCCCAAGGCAGACTCGAACTTTTTGCCAGCAATAAACCACAATCTGTTCGCCCAATCTTGCTGGTGCTCAGTGGGGAATGACCTAGTCCGGGAGTTGGGAATGAACTGGAGGGGGATTGCCTTAAAGGAAACCATAGGGGATGCTTTCTCTCTTCCGACTCATTCCCTGCTGAGAACCAGCAAGCAATGTAAGGGTGTACTTCTTGGCCTCAAGTTGTCCTGTAAGTTTCCACTTTGCTTCCTAGTATTTCAATCATTCACCTGGGGCAACCTCTAACGTGGGCGCCTCTTTAGGTACGTCAGCCAACATTTATCGACTGTTGGTTCTACGGTGCTTGCAAAGCTTTCTACAGGACTTCTCACTGTTCACCCCCATAAAGCCAGGTGGGAACTTACAAAACCCGTGCATTTTTGTTTGCCGTCGGCTATCTTATGGGGCTTCAGAATGTTGTGGTGGGGGTGCTGTTGCTGTAAGTCCAACGGGCTGATGAATACCATGGCGAGCGGGTTGCTTGACTTGATGGTTGTAAAGGTTTACATAATGGGCACCCCGGATTAATAAACCGGTTGATCAATGGGGGGTGCCCCTGTTTTAGTGGAGAGTCATCACTATTGGAGGTGAGCACCCCCTATTAATAAACCGGTTTATTAATCCGGGGTCAACATTAGGCTTGACTATCCCTGTCAAACCGGTGCCTACCAGGGTTTGGGCACGCTCAAATTAAGTGTGTAAGCTTCTGAGGGGCTTGGGCAACCAATGGAAAGCAGTTAAAGGCTGCTCGTTGGTAACCTGAGACTCACGTGATCTTACTTTCCCGGCTATGAGAAAAGGACATTTTCTCTGGAGGTTCGATTCTATGAAAAAACAAGTTTTCAGCTAACGAGCTTCTCCCTTTTAGTTTCGGTGGGGGGAAGGGGGTCCCTCTCTTCACGACGAACATCTCGGTCCTCTCGCTGGATGCCCGGGTGACGTTTGTGCAACCAAGGGCTCCTTGGCTGCACAAGCAACACCAAAACCACACGCAAACCTCGCAACGTCCGAGGGGCAACGTCCATGGACTTTTAGCTCTACGCAGCTGTGAATACCGGCCTTGTCAAACCAGGCACATACTAAAGTGCCCAATGGTGGCATGTTCAAGGACACAAGAATACACCTGGACAGCTCTTTTCGGAAAGAGCATCTTCTGGGGCTTAAGCCTGTGAGTTTATTGCGGCAGCGTTGGCTTAAGCCTGTGAATTCATTGCGGCAGCGTTGGTTGCTTTAAGCCAAGCACGTCGCCTTTTCCAAACCAGTGCAAAACCCGCGGAAACGCGCGGAACCCCGCAAAACATGAAAGGCCACTCTTATTTGTAAGCTGCTTTTGCGAAAATCGATTTCTGCTGAAGCTTTTGTTGCTAAGGCTCAGTTTGCCGTGCTTTCTGCCCATGTGTTTGACTCTAGGCACTGCACTCACTTTGACAAACCTGAGCCCAAAACAATGCTCCTCGCACTTAGCTAGTAGGTAAGCGTACGGATCACCCAATCCTTCCTAGGGCTTTCTTCTTCGGGTTTTTGGGCGTCGAAGCCTCCCTCATATATGGATGCCATAAAGCTTCTCATTCAACCAACTGTACCCAACGAAACTACGGTAACTTACGGTGCATTGAGCTACCTCGTGTCCCGACCCCGCCTCGTTTGCCTCCCTCAACCTGCCCCCGTGAAACTGCCAAACACCGGGAAGAAGGAAACGCGTGGGCTCCCCCCCCAAAAAATGGAGAGTCCGCCAAGCGCAGTGCTGGGTCCTGGTAATGCGGGGCAAAGATTGCTTGGCGCCGGAAGCTACAACTTTGTTGTAAGCGTGGGTCATTGCCTATCTGCTTGAAGAAAACTCCGTTCACAACTCACATTCAACAGAATCCAGATTTATCCTGAACTCTCGGTCGATCACAAAGATTGGGTCTTTCCACGAGCCATACAGTCCAGGAACTGACACCTGGCCTCAGCCTTTCGGATGTCTCATGTCCTTCTGAATTTTGGGCATGAAACAACAAATGGCAAGAAGAGGCCATGAACCGATACTCTTTGCGGTAGTCAACAAGTCTAAACTGGAGCCAAAGAGAAGGACGCCCATCTCTCGGCTTGCTCCGGTGACCACAACGCAGAAGGTCCAGGAACCCAGATCCAAAACTTGCGATCGGTTCGATAGGCAGGGAATGAGTCCAGGAACCCCGACAAATCCCATCATCCCGACTTGGTTCTCCTTTCGGGAATCCTCGAAACCGGCTGCAACCGACGCACGGACTCGGACATTTTCATCCCCCCATCGCAGCAAGAAAAAAAACGACACCTCTCGACCCTCGATGCGAGGCGCCGGATGCGCAAAGCGTTGGGGTACCACCGCTTCAGGACCTAGGCTTGAAACCCAAGGCCCAAGTTGGCCTGGCACCCTCCCAAGCTGTCTGCTCAACCCATGTCCAAAAGTCCCCTTCGTTACGGTGACCAAAAAGCAGCGGTTGGGAGGTGGGGGGGTGCTGGAAGGTGTCCAATCATTGGAATGGGCTGGAGAAAAATAAATATCACTATATGACCATGCTTTTGATGGGAGTAAACAGGCGGGATCCCCTTCAGATCGGATTGATTGCAGCCAGCACCCCCCCCAACCACTGATTTTTAGTTGACTTTGGACCCGGGAAAAGCCGCTGGTGGGTGCTGGAGGGTTGGGTGGGTTGCTTCACGAATGCCAAGGATTACCAATGCACATCAGTTGGCTCAGACTGGAGTTCTTATCCGTTGCTCTTTAAGCCACACTTGGTTGATTCGCAGACATGTCTTGCACACTGGTATGCTCATGTTAGCACAGCGGTAAGCAGTGCTACAATGTCCGTTTCTGTGCATGAATTCGTCCGTGAGGTAGTGCAGCGTTGCTCCGACGAACTTAGTTCTGGCAAATCGAGACCAACGAAAACCAATCCCATGCCATTCAACAACACACAACAAGTTGTAGTGATTTATTCAAGGGACATAAAGAACCCTTGCTGCTTGATCATCTGTTAGAGGTTTGGGGAGG